TTCTAATTCTTTCAAATTTCAGTTTGGGAATCCTAAAGAGCAAGATAGTGGCTGAAATCATAGTCATTCTATTGTCCTCTATAAGGAAGAAGAGGAAAAGACTAAAATATTAAAGTAAAATTAACTAAAGATATGACAACAATCTGGAGTTTAGAATCAAAGCTTAAACCTAAAATTTACCAGCTCAGGATTCCTGTCCATGAAATGGAGTAATAAAGTCTATCATCTTATAGAATTATTTTTAAATATAGAGATAATTTGTAAAGTCATTAACATAGTACCTGGAACAAAGGAGACATACAATAAATGGGCAAAAATAGCTATTGTTACTGAATTCCTAAAACTTTATCAAATCTTTTATAATTGCTATAGAAGTCTACACATGATGGAATTTCTACTCAATGTTTTTTATGACAGATATAACAAAAGTATTAAGTTGAACTATTTTTTATAAAACATTTTGATGAGTACTGTAACAATCTTATTCTTTAAAATACATGCTATAAATTTGAAAACATTGAAGGGTATGGGAAACACACAATCACTATACACATTTGTGATATAAACAAATTGGCTCAATCTCTACTGTAGAAAATCAAATTATAAAGTACATAGCCTTTCATACAGGAATTCCACTTCTAGAATTTATCTTAAGCATACTTGAACATAAGTGAGATTACTTCCATAATACAGATTGTGGTATTAATAAACTATAGGCCGGCGCGGTGGCTCACGCCTGTAATCCTAGCTCTCTGGGGAGCGAGGCGGCGGATTGCTAGAGGTCAGGAGTTCAAACCAGCCTAGCAAAGCGGGACCCCGTCTCTACTAGAAATAGAAAGAAATTAATTGGCCAACTGATTATATATAAAAATTAGCCGGCAGGTGGCGCATGCCTGTAGTCCCAGTACTCGGAGGCTGAGGCAGAAGATCGCTCGAGCCCAGGAGTTTGAGTTGCTGTGAGCTAGGCTGACGCCATGGCACTCACTCTAGCCTGGACAACAAAGCGAGACTCTGTCTCAAAAAAAAAACAAAAACTATAAAGTTATTCTCAGTATCCACGGGGGACTGGTTCCAGGAACCCCCAAGGATACCAAAATCCACCGATGTTCAATTCTCTTGTGTAAAATGTGCAGAATTTGTATATAACCTATACACACTCTCCCATATACTTTAAATTAGTGGTCCCAACATTTTTGGCACAGGACGGGTTTCACAGAAGACAATTTTTCCATGGACCAGTATAGGGTGGGGGGGTAGTTTGAACGATTCAAGCACATTACATTTATTGTGTAATCAAACCTCTCTGCTAAAGATAATCTGTATTTGCAGCTGCTCCCCAACACTAGCATCACCCTCAGCATTACCTCAGATCATCAGGCATTAGATCTCATAAGGAGAGTGCAACCTAGATCCTGGCAGGCACAATTTACAGTACGGGTTCAGCCTCTTATGAGAATCTAATGCCCCTCTGATCTAACAGGAGGCAGAGCTTATGCAGTGATAAGAGTGATGAGGAGCAGCTGTAAATACAGATGAAGCTTCCTCACTCACTTACTCACTGCTCACCTCCTGCTGTGCAGCCTGGGTCTGTGGCCTGGGGATTGGGGACTGCAGCTTTAAGTCATCTCTAGATTACTTATAATACCTGATACAATGTAAATGCTACGTAAATTGTTGTTATACTATATTGTTTAAGAAATAATGATAAGGGAAAAAAGTGTATACATGTTCAGAATAGATACAACCATCCTAATTTTTTCTGAATATTTTCAATCCAAGGTTGGTTGAATCCACAGATGCAGAATCATACATACAGAGAGGCAACTATATTGATTTTGTTCCCAGTTCCAACACAGAGCTCCTAAAACCTTTGGAATTCCTGAGTGACAGATGTGACTTCACTCTTTTTTTTGGCATATTATTGGGGTACAGATTTTAAGGTTTCAATAATGTCCTTTCCCCCTCTCCCCCACAAGTCTGAGTTTCCAGCATGACCATCCCCAGATGGTGCACATCTCACTCATTATGTATGTATATACCCGCCCCGGCCCCCGCCCCCCTGCCCAATACCCTATTACTGTAGTACCTATGTGTCCACTTAGGTGCTGCTCAGTTAATACCAGTTTGCTAAGCCGGGCGCGGTGGCTCACGCCTGTAATCCTAGCACTCTGGGAGGCTGAGGCGGGCGGATTGCTCGAGGTCAGGAGTTCAAAACCAGCCTGAGCAAGAGCGAACCCCGTCTCTACTATAAATAGAAAGAATTAATTGGCAACTGAATATATATATAAAATTAGCGGGCATGGTGGCGCATGCCTGTAGTCCCAGCTACTTGGGAGGCTGAGGCAGCAGGATTGCTTGAGCCCAGGAGTTTGAGGTTGCTGTGAGCTAGGCTGACGCCATGGCACTCACTCTAGCCTGGGCAACAAGCGAGACTCTGTCTCAAAAAAAAAAAAAAAAAAAAAATACCAGTTTGCTGGTGAGTATATGTGGTGCTTGTTTTTCCATTCTTGGGATACTTCACTTAGTAGTATGGGTTCCAGCTCTAACCGTGACTTTACTCTTATTCATGAGTCTGTTTTATACATACCTGAGTTTATGCTAATGAGATGACTTAGGGTGGAGACCCTAGATAGCCTCAGGATGGGTATACATACAACTGCAAAAATCTGAATAAGCTCTATGCATTGCACCAATATTAATCTTAGTTTTGATATGGTACTATAGTTGTATAAGTTGTTGACTTTGGGAGAGACTGGAAGGATGCCCAAGACATCCCTGTATGTTTCCTTGCAACCTTCTGAGAATCTACAATTATTTTAAAAGTAACACTGTTTTTTAAAAAATCCAGACAATATTACAACAATCAAAATGCTAAATATCCAATTAAAAATCTCTAGATATAAAGAGGCAAGAAATGTAACCCAAAATACAAGGGCTGTCCAGAAAGTTATCTAGTCATGGGTACAATGGATACATGGATAAAATGGCTATATACTTTCAAGACATCCCTCGTAAAAA